AAGTTGCACGTATGCTGATGAAGAAATCGAAATCGGAAAAAAAAGGAAAAGAAGAAACAAACGAAGAAATCCCAGAACAAAAAAAAAATCACCAAACCCCGTTAAATATTATAAATTCTGGATGAATTTTAATACCATATTACTCCACTCGACTGATGTTTGCCTCTATTATTATTATTATTATGATAATGAATATAGCATATGAATAGAACGCATAATACAAGAATAAAACAAAACCATGATTGAAGCCGTAGCAAACCGTATATTAAAATTGGGTGTCCGAAATTTAAATCATCTCAAAACAAGTGTCCGAAATATGAATCATTTTCTTTTTGATAAATTAACGCTATTTATCGTAAAGTTTTGATTATTTAGTTAAAAAATTATTAAAATTAGCTCAATTTAAAGATTTCTAAGCAGTGTATTGAATAGATGAAACTTAAAAATGTCAAAACCATCAATACTTTGTCTATTTATTGCAGCTGCAGTCTTAAGTGTCTGAAATATGAATCAGAACGGTATATTTTATCTGTGACCAATAATATGACATTGCGGCTTACTATTATTTTAATGGTGAAAAAATAAATTTGATTATATTTATATCGTCACAACGATTGGGACCTCGCTTGTAGGAGCCTTAAAAGCTTACTGATTTTGAACAAGCCTTGATCGCTTGTTCAAACTTTTTGTAATGAATTCACATAGCGTCCAGATGTCATAAATATAAGCATATCAATCTTAAGAAAATTGTCAATGTTAGATAATTCCAAGAATTTTGTAACAAGCGTTTAGATTTTGAATATTTCATCATCAATCAAATCTCAGACATAACAACCAAAATAAAACACTAGATTTTAAAATTCTGGCTGAAACATGGTAAAGTGCACACACACACTACCTTATTTGCTTATCCCTGACAGATATGCGTATTTCTTCTACAATGTGCAGACTTCTTCAGTGTCTTGTACTAATACAGCTGTACTAATAAATTCCAAATGAAAATTTCAATTAGCTGTACAATTTTTGGACTTGTTTAGAGCTTGATGGTTGTATGGGAATACTAACAAAAAATATTTACTAATAATAAGCCATGTTTTATTTTCATTCACCAACTGCAAAAGGTTTGGCAGTATAAAAGGTGTCCCACATCAAATTGCATCACGGAAAAAAAAACGCTGATATTACCTTGTTGACCATTCCTTTTCAAACTTTCAGACAGTAAAATTTAACCCATAAGTAAGCTTTTGGCATATTTATTTCATTCAATTTCAAAACCATAACCGTACGCTCGCACCTCACGCTTAACTCCACTCATAAGGTTCGGTGCAACATCTCGCTGTAGCTTCTTCTGTACGGAAACCCATTTTTTCTTCATGTCTTCCTCAGATTTGAATTCCTTGGGATGCTTCCGTAGTGCCTGCTTCATAATAGCCCAGTATTTTTTAATATGCCTTAGTTACGGTGCCTGGAAGGGGGGAAGGGGTTCATGTCCTTGGGTACGAAAGGGACCCCGTTGGCTTCGTACCACTCCAGGACAACATTTGAAAAGTGGCACGAAGCTAGATCTGACCAGAAGATCGTAGGGCCCTCGCGTTGCTTCAACAGAGGAAGCAGACGCTTCTGTAGACACTCTTTGCGGTAGATTGTTTACAGTCCCGGTAGTCACGAACGGCGCACTCCGTTTGCCACATGAGCAAATCGCTTGCCAAATCATGTATTTCTTAGTAAACTTTGAAAGTTTCTGCTTCCTTACTTCCTCCGGAACATCAAACTTGTGCTGGACGGTGAAGAACAGCAGTCCCAGAAGCTGCCGGAAGTCCGCCTTGACGTAAGTCTCATCATCCATGATGAAACAATGAGGCATCGTCAGCATCTGGGTGTACAGTTTCCGGGCCCGTGACTTTCCCACCGTATATTGCCGTTCGTCACGATTTGGAGCCTTCTGCACTTTATACGTATGCAGTCTCTCCCGGTCCTTGGCTCTCTGACCGAAAGACTTGGACAGATTAAACTTTTTGGCCACATCCCTCACCGAAGCATTCGGATTCCGCCTAAACGCTTTCACGACACGCTTGTGATCCTGATCACTAATAGAACATCCATTCCGACCACATTTCTCCTTCCGTTCGATGCTCGTTACGTAGTAACGTTTAATGACATGACTCACCGTTGACTGCACGATTCCGAGTTGTTTTCCGATGTCCCGATAGAAGAGTTGAAGATTTTCCAGGTGCTTGCAAAAAATCAATTCACGACGTTGCTTTTCGGGTGACGCCATTTTTTTCAACTTTCGGAAAACTGATAGCGATAGAAATACAATGAAAACAATACACTCTAAACTACTTCTACCCAAATTTTCAAGAAAAAATACCCAATGGGTAATTTTCTACAGCGTTTTTTCCCGGGATGCAATTTGATGTGGGACACCCTTTATCGTAAAAGTATCCGAGCATATCAATGTGTACTCAGCTACGGTTGTATTCATGCATCCAACATTTTGTTAATACAGCAATATGTCATCTCCCTGAATCCTGGATGCGTTACTGTTATTGTCATTAGAGACATCATGGCGGGGATTGACTGAAACTGTCGAGAGACTATGTACGGTTGTGTAGTGATCATTTCCCGCTTCGGCAGGACGGGTTTGTTGGGGATGGCTCTCATTCGTCCGCCCGAAGTTAGTATGATATTCACTCAGTGCTGCTTTCATTTCTGGTTCGTCATCTAGGGGTGCTACTGTTTCACCTCATTATTGTGATAATTACTAACGGTGGCACTCTAATAACATGGTGTATTTTGCTAAACGACTTGTTCGGATTATCATCCCAACCATTTATGGAATAGTTCTACCATTTGGGATATTGTTCGTTTGTGGTATTTGTTAATTAGGGCGGCGTTGCTCATGCACACTCAGGAATCATCCGGCCTCCCCACTTCGCGTACTCTTCTCAAAGTTTCAATATTCGTGTTACTACAGTATTTCTCGTGGGGGTGCGACACATCTGAATCTCAATTTTTAATGGTCGAAAAATCTCACGTTAGCGAACCAATCTACCAAAAATCTTGTTACTACTCTTTCATCTAAATCCATCTACTCACATCACCCTCCAACTTGTTGGAGCAAATCTTCAAAATCTTCATCAATCTTCTATCTATATACTAAACATGCGCAAATGTCATAACAACAATACGAAATTTTTGCTGCATCCTAGATGGAGTCACCGCCCTCGAAATTTCTTTAGTAATCGGTTCTGCCTGAAGTTTATATTTTTCTTGCGCTTAGCTCTTATCGCTTATTGAAGATAATGTTATGCATTCGCAAGAGTGGTAGCACGAACAGTAGGGTAGAGTACTACTTCGGCCTAATCGCCCATTTTGGGCCTATCGTGCAGAAAACACAAAATAATTCCATGATTTCAGAGTTAACAAGTCAATTATGAGTTTGATACGATACTTTAGTTAATAAGCTTTGCACCCATAATTCACAAAAACAAAAGCAGCGCTCCGACCGAATCAATTTTTATCTTCATCCGATAGGCCGAAGTGAACTTATTTGCGTTTCAATGGCGTTTCAATGCGTTAGGCCGAGTTTAGAATCCGTAGGCCGAGTTTGGCGTCAAGAAGCAGTGTTAGACTTTTGACAATATCTCAGCGATTGGTTCCTCTTTATCAAATCTTACGGTACGTACAGAAAAGTAAATAAATTTGGAAGCCATCAGTAATAATAACATTCCGTTTGGTGCTAAACTGTACTAGATTACTAAAGACTAAGTGCGGGTTGTGCTTAATATGCCGAAAATGGGGTAGTTAACCCTACCTACTTACGGGGATTTAAGATGTATCGTTCAGCTGTTTTTATTTTCTAATAGATTTAGCGAGGTGCAGCAATGCTTATCCATTTCAAGCTCAATAAATCGTCAAGGTTAGTAGGCACTAGACAAATTGATCACCAAATTCAATAAATCTGCAATGAAAACATCATCATCGTTCGTATCAAGGACGTCACATCCAAATGTAATCTCCGACTGATCCCTTTAAGGACCGTCAATTAAGTGGATTGTCTCATAACCTGGCAAGGGTTTCCGTCGCAAGAGCAAACACCACACTCTGACACCCTTCCTCTCCTTCCCTTCCACCACCGTAAACCTACTATTTTCCTGCCCATAATCAAATTATGATTATTACATGTTTCCAACGGTGGTGGTTCATCCGGCCGACCGTAGAATGGCTCGTTCGTCATAACATAATACCATTACCTACTATAATAATATGCAGAAGTTTGGTGTTGGTTTAGACTTGCATCGTGTCTCGGAAGAAAGTGCAATCACCATTAACCAGGCTCAAACGACTCTAGCAGAGCGCTACGGGAGGTCGGGTCATCTCCAGCCAGGGGCATTAGATGGCTACTTTATGGTGGGAAAAGCGCTCACAGTCCAATACTTTCTTGGGGCTTCCCGTCGTCGTCGTCGGTGCTGCGTCCTGCATGCTTGAATTGAGTGTGAGTGTGTTTGACTGGAAAGGGGATTTATGATGGCTGATGTAATAACCTAGTGCACTGTCGAGACAGGATGTGGCAACTCTCCTATGTAGAGAACGAGGACGTTGATGATTATGATGATGATGATGATGATGGCGATGCGGTCACGACTGAATGCACAGCAAACACACGTTCCGTTCGCGGTTTGGTAGATTAAGCTACTTCTCTCGGTGGAGCGAGAGCGGGCCATTAATTGACCATGTGAGATGTCTGGGGGAAAAGCCTCGCACATTAGCTACTGACGAGATTATAATTGCTTGCCGTAAATTTACTCGGATGTGAAAGATTTAATGGGATTAATTTAATTGATCGACTTGGATATTGCCGCCGCTGGGGAGCACTTACTGCTGCCTGGCGTTGGTCGTAAAATTCCCAGCACGTGGAAATTCAAGTGCGAAATTTTATGCTTCGAACGTGTTGGCAGCAAGCGAGCACTCATATTTGTGTGTTTCACTTTTTGCAGGCAACCGACAGAACGATCTGAAGGACGAACGGCGGAGAGCGCAGATGTCATCTGCACGACAGGTGCTGGAACGTTCCACGATGATGCTGTTGACGTCATCCAGGGTAAGTGAGGAGCACACAAGCAGGCGTTCAGAATAATTGCTCACCTTCTCCCCCACTCTCCTCAGACATGTATAAGGCATCAGGGATGTCCTCACTCCAAGGAAAATCGAGATACCGTGTTTTGCCAAATGCGACGAGCGATGGATCTGATACACTACGTGGTGAAGGATGGCATTCTGGAAACGGCTAGCGAACGGAATGCGTTACGACAAGTAAGTTCTGATTGAACCTCAAACCAAGAAGTCATTTCACTGAACACAATTTCCTTCCACCAACAGGTTCCCGAGTGGGACTCGGAACGGGCAACGGCCTTCACCTGTCTGCGTCATTTTTCCCGTCTCATCGAGATGTCCCGACCGGACTACGAGCGGCGCAGTTCCGGCAGCAAAACGAGCTCTTCCATGGCGGCAACCGTCGGGCCGCCTCCACTCGGTGCCAAAGATTGCGTCTCGCCGACGACGGCGCAGCGCGAGAAGGAAACCGACATCGAGTACCGGCGGGAGCTGACGCGGCGGAACAGCGAACGCGATCGCGACAGAAATTCCATTGGTCATTCCAGAGAGTATAGTACTAGGGAACGCGAGTTTCCCAAATATGACAATAAAGCTGAAGTAAGTCCCTTTAAACTATAATTTTGCGATGCATTCACATATATCTCGAACCCACAGCTAGGGATCTCAATATTTTCCTCGGACACCCGGGAGCAGCTGCTGGCCGCGCTCGATAAGGTTTGTGAAAAAACTCAGGACTTTACGGATTCGGCGTACACGACTCACGACTACCGGGAAAACATCCTGCTGCTGTGCGACCGGGCCAAGCTGGAGCTGAACCAGCTGATGCGAATTGCCGTCAGCATGGAGCAGTATCCGAACGCATCCTACGACATCGAAGGTGCCATCGAGAGCGTCCTGACGGCGGCGCACGACCTCACGACGCAGCTGACCCTGACCGCTCAGGACCAATCGGCCGAACTGTCGCATATCATCAAGGCCGGCATCGACATTGCCAACTCGCTCAGGAACATTGCCTTAAATCAGGAGATCGACCGGTTACAGGAGTGCGCCGATCGGTTTCACGAGCATATCGACCACATACTGGAGGTAAGTGACGAATATCGCGGAATACGATGCAGCTCATTCTCGTGCCATCCATTTCCCACCAGGTGTGTAAACTGCTGCGGCAGATAGCCCTCACGGAGTCCCTGCAGGTGCAGGCCAAATTCACCGAAATCAACGTACGGATCTACGGGCCCCAGGTGATCACGGCGGCACGGGCCTTGACGTCGCATCCGGAGAGTAAACACGCCAAGGATAACCTCGAGGTGTTTGTCGATATGTGGCAGTGGCTGTCGACGGACGTCACCACCATCACCAAGGAGGTGATCGACCTGGCGCAATCAACGACCAAATCCGACAAAACCACCGAGTATCTTAGTCTTCCGAGACCTGGGGTATGGGGCTTTCCAATTAGCATCAATTGTCAACTGGTAATATTCTGATGATTTTCTTCTTTTTTTTTCTTCAAACATTCAACAGAAACATGGAACCACATCGAAACCGCTGAAGCCAACGCGCCTGGATTCGGAGGAGCAGGAAAAAATTGCCAAAACGGGACTGGAGATGAAGATGGTCACCAACGAGATGGACGCCGAGACGGACAAGTGGAACGGGGCGTCCGAGGAGAACAACGACATCGTCAAGAGGTACAGTTTAGTAGAGCTCTTTTCATAATTATCTCCCACAAGGCAAGGGGACATGTCGTGCAGATTGCAATTTTACGATGGAACACAGCAGCTACCATCGGTAGTAAAATGAAGGAAAAAAATGTTGAGATTGCACTAAGTAACGCCCTGTTAAACGTTTAATAACCCGTTTGGAATAATGACGGGACGCATTCTACCATTCCCCGCTGCTGCTCGAAAGGGGGAGTGCTATTTTTCCACTAAAGAGCTTTTAATAGGATGACGTTAAACCCGTGGCGAGGGGGGTTATCCACTTAAGAACTGCACTAAGTAAAGTTCGGTAACTCGCCAGAGTGCAGCGAACGGTAAATCTCGTGTTTCAGGGTGCATTAATGGCTAATGAGATGGAATTTATACTGCAATTTGCACCGTCAAGCTGGAGGGAAAAATGGCCTTTTACCGGTGCAACTCGAGATGAATTTTATTAAAATGAAGAGATGGTAAGTGTTGTAAAACTATCAAGCCAATGTAATAAACAATGTGCTTGCTGTCTTTCGTCACTTATTAAAGTTGATATAGAAGCTTTTATAGGGATTTTACAGCCTTAACTCGCAAAGCGAGAGACTGTAGATGTTGATATCTATGCCAGAACCTTCTTTTTTGCAATTTCTTGCAATTTAAATAACCGGATTGAGTGGAGTAAGGTGGGGTAAGACGGGTCAGCTAGTAATTTATTTGTTTGTCAAACTCAACAGGTTCGTTGCAACCCTAATTCAAGGTTGCAAAGACTCATTTCAGCTAAAACAATGTTTTTCTAAATTATGAAATAATTAGATGCCATGATCAAATTTTGAATTGGTAGGATACAAGAAGAAGTTGCAAAGAATGTGTTTGACATATTAAACCTGTTTATTTCACTTCATGAGAGTCACAATAAGCGATTTTTCACAAACTCACTCACTCACTCACTCACTCACTCAGCGATCAGCAAATCGCTGATTGTGACTCATAGAAAGCAAAATTTACAAGTTTTATGTTTCCAACTCATACTTTGTAACCTCTTCTTGTAAGTTACAAGTAAAACATGTCATCATACCATCTTTTAGTTTTATTATTCAGGAAAACATTATTTTAGCTGAAATGAGTGTTTGCAACCTTGCCCTAATTATGTAGATGACCCATTATTCTCCGTGACCAATCTGCCCCAACACAACCTACATTTCCGGTGAGATTCGAGGTTTTTGTTTCGATCCTTTTCACGTAGGCCTGAAAAAAAAGGTTTTCAGAAATAACACTAGTTTACAAAACAACATAAAAAGTGTGAACTTTAGTGGTTGACCAACGTTTCTAATGCAAAATCCTACGCTGAATTCAATGCCGTGGTCAGAAAAAATTAAAGTAGAGCCATTTTTGAGATATACAAAAAATTTGATTTTTTGAATTTTGGACAAAAGTACGATTACTAAAATGTCAATATATTTGGAACTAGTACACCAATTTTAAATCTTTTTTTAATGAATGTGAAGCTAAATAAATTTGCTATCGTTCACTAGAATATTAAGTCTTAATTAAAAATTTAATTTTGAAATCATTTAAAAATTTACAGCATTTTTTTTTATTTTTCCTGCGAATTTTCCATAAAAATCTTGTTTTAATCAACATTTTAAAAAGATTCAAAAAATCATTCCATAATTTATTCTTAAAGTCCATTAAAAACTGGAGAAAATTATCCTTTAATGGATGAAATGGAAATTGTCGAAGTTATGAATTTTTTTGTAAAATCATGGAAATTGAATGTTCCAAGATTGGCCGTTGTCCCGCTCCTAGGTTCATGCACCACTTCCAGTAAGCTTTTCTGCGGACGTGTACGCATACGGTGCATTTCACTAACACTACCAGCTGTCACGCAAAATTAAATGGGATATTTTCATCAATATAATTTACGCTAGTGTTTGTGAGACCGCTCGGCGAGAACCTAACGCAACCAACTCAATTTGACAGCTTTCTTTCTTTAACATTGCTTAACGATGTATACGACAAAACGTGAATTCAAGTGTAAAAATGATACTCAAAAGTTTTGTTACGCGTGTGGCAACTATATATTTACAAAATCGGTCAATTTCACTGCTTCGTTGCAAACTGCATACAGGCTTTATTTTAAAATTGATCCTGGAGACTTTGACGAACCGTGGATTCCAAAAGTATTATGTAGTTCGTGCAAAACGTGCTTGGCTAGGTGGATGTCAGGCGCAAGGTAAATTGATTTTTTGAATAACTTTCATATAAACAATTTATGTATAGCATGGTAGTGCTTTGTTCTTTCCTGATCGACATTATCTTACTTCATCTATTTTTGATAAGTGTTAATGTCTTACTTACTAACTCACTTATTTGTTACCTGTCAGTCGCTATTTGTCCTTTGACATGCCCACCATATGGCGTCGACCGTTTTGTCATGCAACGGATTGTTATTTCTGCTTGACAAAAGTTAAGCAACAAGGACGTCACAAAACAGTTGAGTATCCACAAGTGGCTTCTATGACAAAACCTGTTCCACATTCAAGTTCGGTCCCGTATCCTGTTTATCCTAAGCGGAAACGAGCGCCCTCTGTTGAATCGACCGTTACAAAAAGTGAGGAGGAATTCAAGGAGGAATGCGAGGAAGACTTCGAGGTGGAATTGGAAAGAAACCCAAAACTGTTTACACAATCCTAATTTAATGATTTGGTGCGAGATCTCGACTTATCGAAGGAGAAATCCGAATTGCTGGCATCACGCTTGAAAGCACACAACATGCTGAGCAAGGAGGTCAAAATTTCTTGTCACAGGAATCGTCACAAGAAATTTGACAAATATTATTCTACAAAGGACAAGGCATGTTTTAGCCATGACGTAAACGGCTTGTTTGAAGAGTTTGATGAGCCATATGATCCAGCTGAATGGCGTTTATTCATCGATAGCAGCAAGTTGAGCTTGAAAGCCGTTTTACTGCATCAAAGGAATGAGAAACCTTCTATTCCATTAGCTCATGCCGTTATTATGAAGGAAATGTATGAATCAATGGCTCTATTGCTCAATTTGATAAATTACAATCAACACAATTGGAAAATTTGTTCCGATCTTAAAGTGGTTGCCATGTTGGCTGGATTGCAACAGGGATACACAAAATATATGTGTTTTTTGTGTAAATGGGACAGTCGAGCTCGTAAGGAACACTACGTCCGAAAAGATTGGCCAAAACGGGATAATTTCACAATTGGTAAAGACAACGTTAAAAATGATCCTCTTGTGGTAAAAGAACGCATAATACTTCCACCACTACATATAAAACTTGGGCTATTTCTTAAATTTCGCCAAAGCGTTGCAAAAAGAAGGGCCGGCATTCCAGTACTTGAAATCAGTATTTCCAAATTTATCTGACGCAAAGATAAAGGAAGGTGTATTTGTTGGCCCACAGATCAAAAAACTGCTCAATGATTCCGCATTCAATACAGTTTTGACACCAGATGAGGAAGAAGCGTGGAAATCGTTCCAGCGTGTTGTCACAACCTTTTTAGGAAATTTCAGAAGCCCAGATTATGAGGAAGCCGTCGATGAATTGCTCAAAAATTATGAAAAAATAGGTATAAATCAAAAATATTGTGTTTGTTACATAGGGGAATTTACGTATTCTCGTCAATCTAAGCAGCGTCCGCACTTCTATTAGCATTTTGTCAGCGTTACGCACATATATCACGTGTCTGTTTGTTAACATTCATCTGCTGCTTGCTTATCTATCCATTCCAATCGACAGAATTTTTCAAACCGGTTTGAAAGCGATTTTACAACGCTCCAAACTTCTCAGGTGAGTGTGACTATTGTCGGCAGCCTCTTTTTCTTCGGCAACCTTCCCATTAGAACTGCGTGTTAACCAGCTGTTCTATTATCGGCAACTCGAAATCAGCCCCATTTTGTAGTGCGTATACTTCATTTGAAGAAAAATCTGGCATAATAGGATTGCTCGGTCGTACAAATATAATCAGATTGAAGCTGAAAGACTAAAGAATCGTTTGAATACATTCAGGGAAGTGTGTTGATGGGAAAACATAGTTAAATTATCGTTTAAATTTTGGTTGCCGAAAACAGTCAATGGGTGCCGAAGCCAACATTTACCCTATAATTAATTTCAAATCCTTTTATTTCACTGAACACAGGTGTGAATATGTCTTTGAAGATACATTTCCAACATTCTCACATGGTTTTTTTCCCGGAAAATCTTGGTGACGAGAGTGATGAGCACGGCGAACGTTTTCACCAACAAATGAAGATGATGGAACGTCGTTACCAAAGGTTTTGGGATGAAGCAATGATGGGTGACTATTGTTGGTTTCTGATTCGAGAAACAAGTTCAAAACATCGAAGACAAAGTCATTCGATTCTCAATCATTTTTAATAAAACCTAAATAAATTTCTTTTGTATCAACTCGGTTTTAAATCCTGATATGCCTTAATCAAATTGATATGTAGAGAAAAGAATCTCCCATGAAAACTTTACATGCGATTTGGATGCTTACAACGACACCTAGAAAAGGAACTCTAAAGCTGTTGTATTTCAGCAAAATTTTTAAGTGTTTTACAAAAATGCTCATAACTTCGACAATTTCCAACCGATTTCATCCATTAAAGGCTCATTTTCTCCGGTTTTGAATGGACTTTAAGAATAAATTATGGAATGATTTTTTTGAATCTTTTTATCCCATAAAAATTGTTGATTAAAACAAGATTTTTATGGAAAATTCGCAGGAAAAATAAAAAAAAAATGCTGTAAATTTTTAAATGACTTCAAAATTAAATTTTTAATTAAGACATAATATTCCAGTGAACGATAGAAAATTTATTAAGCTTCATTTTCATAAAAAAAGATTAAAAATTGATGCACTAGTTCCAAAGATATTGACATTTTAGTAATCGTACTTTTGTCCAAAATTCAAAAAATCTAAATTTTTGTATATCTCAAAAATGGCTCTACTTTATTTTTTTCT